GGGTCGTGGCGGGTCGGGTCGGGTCGGGTCGGGTCGGGGGCGGCCCGGCCCGGCCCGGCCCGGCCCAGCCCAGCCCAGCAACATGCGTGTCCCTCCCTCAGCTTTGACGGGGACGACTTCGATGATGTGGAGGAGGATGAGGGCCTGGAGGACCTGGAGAACGCGGAGGAGGTGGGTGCCCGGCGAGCCGCCGCTCCAGCCGGCCCGGGCAGGCTCTGCCGGTACCGTAGGCCTGCGTCGCGGCCCGGCTAGGCGGTGGGTGGGGCTGCGGAGGCCTCGGGGGCTCTGCCAGCGCCGCGGGGCCTCACCGGTGGGCGCAGCCGAGCTGCAGCGCTGGTCTGCTTTCCTCAGGAGGGACAGGAGAACGTGGAAATCCTCCCCTCAGGAGAGCGGCAGCAGGCTAACCAGAAGCGGATCACTACCCCCTACATGACCAAATACGAGCGAGCCAGAGTCCTGGGCACTCGTGCCCTCCAGATAGCGTGAGTATCCTGAGCATCACCACAGCTTCTCCTCCCTTCCCTCTTAAAGCTGCTTTCCACCTTCCTTAAAAACTCCTGGATCTCATGTAATCCCTTGCGCAACTGCTGAGCATGCGGATCACCATCTTGGTCAACGCTGAAGCGCAGGACCGTGGAGCTCGCTCTTAGTTGCATGTGAAGTCTCTGTATCTCTCCCTGGCTGAGACTGTGGTACTTGTGCCTAGGAAGGGAGGACATTCAGCCACTGCAGTGAACCTTCCTAGGTCACAGGCAAAATGAGTAGGGGATGTGACAAGCTCTTCCTGTTTTTTTTCATAAGGGAGCCAGTGTGGGCTGGAAAGCTCAGAACTGGTTTGCAAAAGCCGACTTTGGAGCAAGGGACCCTCCAGAATGTCTTTAGTTGATATGACAGAGCTGTAGGAATTGGGAACGGAGTAACCAACCTGAAATCTGTTTTAAATGCAGCTGCATTGTGGCAAGCTGTAAGTTTTTTAAAGTATTTGGAATAGTGGGGCCTCATTTATAATGAGCAATAACATTTAAATCCTATTTTAAGTGCTCTTAAGGTTGGCTGCTCTCAACTTAATTAATTTACCTGTCTAGACTTGTTTTAATAATACATATCAAAAAGTTTTGCACTCTTTGAAAAACTGCCTTATGAGTGAGATTATTAGGCTGTGGCAAGGTTTGTCTGAAAGCACATCTCTGAGTTTTATCTTGGTTATATCCACCCTCGAAATAATGCCTCTCCTCTACATCATTTAGAAGCTCATAGGTGGTGATTAGCTCTTTCCTTAATCATCACTTTGCTAAGCTGCTCTTTGCACAGTCTTCACGCTGTGGAGCTGTTTTGCGCACAATCTTTCAACTGGTGGAAGGCCAGAAAATGGGGGAGATGAGACGGGCCTGTGCCATGCCTTTAATCCAGAACACTATGACGCCTGATTCTGCTTCACCTTCATATTCTGCCTTCAGTGCTGAACCTAGGCCAGCAGCAGCCCCCAGTGGCCTTATCCACGCATAACGTGAACTTTCTTTATTGCCGCTGTCTAATGGGCGGATAGCATCACCCGTGTTTGCTCTGCTGTTACAACCCTCTGCAAAAATGCTTAATTTTTTCTTCCTAGAGGTAGAGTGCATCATAAATCCAGCCCCTCGCTTTCCCCCAAACAAAGCCTGGAAGGTGTGAGCAAATCAGAACGTAAGAGGTGTGCTGGAGTTGTAGGAGGCATGATCATTTTACAGTGTTTCCACCCTCTTTATTGGATTCATTTTAGAACCACTTTTTTTCCTTACATTTAAGTACAGCAGAGGGTGGCTAGGAAGGTGTGGATCTGACCAGCTCTCAAGTGCCAGCTGGTCAGCAGAGGCTGAGGGATGGGGCAAGAAGAACGGTGAAGTAAAAGCTCGGTCCATAACCATTTGGGGGAGTTTTCTTCCCGAAGTGCCTAAGAGAGCAAATCAGACTTGCCAAGGTGGTGTCCCACCCTCCTTCTTTACTGGCCGTTGTCCAGATGACGTAGGTAGCTGCGTCCTTAGCTGTCCCTTTTCCTTCTCTGTGTGTTTGCTCAAGCGGTTGTTGTTCTGCCCCAGGATGTGTGCCCCTGTGATGGTGGAGTTGGAAGGAGAGACAGACCCCTTGCTGATTGCCATGAAAGAACTCAAGTAAGTCCCAGACTTTGACGGTGAGCATATTGATTTCCATAAAGCAAGCAGTCCTCTCCTCGTCCCAGCATTTAGCAGCTTATTCCAAGACAACCTTGCCTTCCCTCGATAACAGTGAGCACTACAGTTGCCTTCCCCGTTTTCACCTTGGGACTTCTCTGCAGCTGCTCTCTCCCGTCCTAGTTGCTCGTGCAAAGTACTGATGATGAGGAGTATTCTGACCTCTTTTACTTCAGAGTCCAAGTGTTCTTTATTTCTGAGATGAGAACTCAAGATCCTCATCTTTCTGGAATCGGTTTAATTCCCTGAATGGAATTGATTCGAAGAAGCCATCTGAACAGACCTGTTCAAATGAGTTCAGATGAAGTGCTGGCAAACAATAAAATAAGAGTCAGGCTGGTGGCGTGGAGATCCTGTTAAGAATGTTCTTTTCCTGCACCCTTCCACCCTTGGCTTATTGTGCTTAGAGAAAGATAAATAAATCCTTTCTGACTGTAGCAGAGGCAGCTTCTGGATGACCAGTTACAGGCCTGCCTTTCCACAGCAGAGCTCCCTGCTGGCCCACAGTTTGCCTGCGTGGTCGGTGACCTAGATCACATGCAGGTATCCTTCAAGCAGAGCAACTGGACTCCATTACCGATTAAGTCCCTGTTCTTGAACTGAATTGTCCCTCTGCTCCCCCAGTTTCTCAGTGCGTTGCAGTTGCTCTTGAAGATTTTGTATCTATTATAGCTCCTGTTATCATTGCCAAAAGCTCCTTAGGTCATGTTCCTGTCAGATCTCCAAGCTCAGTCTGAGTTGCTTCTGGTCACTGTCTGAGCATGAGCTCTAGAAAGTAAGTCAGGGTGTGACAAAGTACAGTGGCATCCTGTTCTGTGCCAAAATTCAGTTGTAATTCTTGGCATGAGGGAGCTGCTTTGCTCCCTAAAAGAAGTTCTATTACTTTTCAAGTCTGATATGGTTGAAACCTGATGCCCTAGTTAGATTCCAGACTGTCTGATTACATTCCGCTGACTTAAATCTACTTCCATTAAGTTAAATTGTGTTCAGCATTTTCTTGCTTTCTAATTGGAACCCCTGTTAGCAGATGCTGTGCTCCACCCCAGCTGTACTGGGTTTTGGTCCCTGATTAGTCCCTATTTCATGTAGCCTTCTTGAAATGTAACTGATGCTCTCAGGGTGCAAAATACTCTGTAAATACCAGTTTTTCATGAAGGTTCTCAGAATTCTGCCACTTTTTTGTAGTGTCTTGTGGGGAAAAATCTTCCATCAAACAAAAACCAATTTGTTCTTTGAGTCCCTTGATTTCCCACCCCACCCCGCCCTGTATCTTAGTTGCTTGGTGTTGTCTCATAGCGGGTTCAGATCACAGGGCTCAATTCCTGCAGGAGCAACAGAGGGCTGACCTGTAGGTTTTTGGTTGCCTTGAGTCTAAGGGTGCTCAGTGCTTGGCACCTACAAAAGAGAGGAAGTTGTTGGGACTTCCCTCTACTATATAATACCAAATCACTGGTGCTACACAGATCTCTCGGTTAAACCTGATGAGCTTACTGAAGCCCCTAAGGCAGTGAGTGCACCTCAGTTCCCATTGCCTGCTGAAGTGGTATAGTGGAGACTCTGGCATTTCTGTTCACCTCTCTGTCCTCCCTTCAGAGCACGCAAGATCCCCATCATCATCCGTCGTTACCTACCAGATGGGAGCTATGAAGACTGGGGTGTGGATGAGTTAATTATCACAGACTGATCAGCCTCCAGCCATTGTTTCGGTTCTTTCCTTCTCCAGAGATGTTTCTATTTTTGTTTATATCTGTGTAAATAAATTATAAACTTCCCCATTTTAAGTTAAATGTGTTTTGATTTATTGGTTGTTTTTTTTTTTTTTCCTCCCTTCCCACCTTCTCTTTCATCTCAGTCCTACATGCCCGAGAGAAGACTTTCTTACTTCTCGCTACCAGCTTGGTCATTATTCTTTCTGTGTCATGGGCTATATTAATAAGATTAGGGAGCCAAGTGCCATGCTTTTCTTGCAGCTTTTTTCACCTTCAAAGGCCATACCTTTTAGCTAGGCTAAAGACTGCAGTAACTCCTTCCTCCTCCAGCACCGCTCCTCCCTGGTTATAGAACTAATAGCCAATTAGACTCCTGCTGTACAAAAATGCTCTTGCAGGTACTTTGGCTTCAGAAAGACTCCAGCCCTCCACCCCTGTCTCTTCTTAAAACAGGAGTGCTGAGACACCTCCATTGCTTCCCCCTAGACAGTTGGGCCTTTGTGCCCTCAGCAGGTTGCTGTGGAAACCCCCAATTTCCTCTCTGGCCGGGGCTGGCTGTGGGGCTTCTCAGGGGTATCGTAGAGCAGCTCTCATCAAATCACCTATTGTTTCCCTGCTCCTGCTGCTTATCAGAGGTGGGGATCCCCTTTCAGTGGCACTGCCCCAGCCGGAAGCATGGTCGCCACTCACGGTCCCACCAGCTCACCAATCGTAGGTTGTTGCTGCATTTGCTCTTCTTTCAGCTGTTCTCTGATGTGCGGTCGGAACCGATGGTCCCGAGTGTGTGGGTGCTCTTCAGCCATCTCAGTTGTATGTACTCTGGTGGTTCTTACAGTGGCACAACAGTAGTTAAATGCTAGAGTTCCTTTAATCTGTAGTGTGATGAAAGATCAGCCATTTGTCCCCTTAAGGCACCTGCATTCTTGCCTCTGATGTGCAGGGAGGTTATGTGCTCAAATCAAGAAGAGTTGAGTGGATGCTTTACAGTCTGCAAGGGCCTCCAGCCAGCCACTACCTGGTTTCCATTTCTTGATCTTCTGTGTACTCCAAGGCTCTTGCTCTGCATGAGGAAGATTGAGCTCCTGGGCAGAAAACATTGAGTCTTTCTCAATTATCTTATTAAAAAGTGCCCATGGAATTTTTGTTTTCTTTAAATAAAGAGAAGAAGAGGGAAGGTGCACCTGTGGTTTCTGCTTTATGCTGATTTTTCTCTTTACACAGGTCCAGGAAGAATCTTTCCAACTAGTTGGTGTTAAAGCTTGTGCTTATATATAAAGCGTGCCTTCTCCATGCTGTATGTGTGGTCAGTGGCTGCTCCCCAAAGGGAGTTTATATCCACCTGCCTGGGAACTCAGCTCGTGTAACTAGCCATGTATGTCATTCTCTTACTGCTCGCTGTAAAAGCACCAGTCCATCCATCCTGTGTTGGTGTGCACAGGAGGAGCTGGTTTTGGAGGTGAGAATGCAAGAGCTGAATGGGTCCCTGGGCAAAATGACAGGTCGAAGGGAATGTGGAGGCGCTTGCAGGTGTGGGAAGAGGATCGACTGTGAGGAACACACCACTTCCTGGTCCAGGCCATCCCTACCAAGAAAAGGTTAATTTGCAGCACTGTGGCCTTCAGCCTTCTCCCCCCACCCTCCATGGAATCCTTTAATCACGTTGGTGCGGTGAAATTTCAGCCCTGAAATGGTGCCTTTGTGCAATCGTTTTGGCGTCCGCCATGGAGCGCGGGGGTCGTTTTCTTGTCCTTTTTTTCCTTTTTTTTAAATGGCTTCTTTGTTCCCTACCCAACTCCCCTCCCCAGCCTTGCATCTGTATCAGATACAATTAAAGGGATAGGGAAGGATGCCCGGCCAGCTCCTGCTAGGCTGCAGAAGGAGTGGTTAACCCCTGTGTTACCAGCGGTATTCTCAGTCCTGTTTTAGTTGTGAGGACCCTCCTAGATGAGAGGAGGCATCCCCTTCCACTAGAGGATGGTTGGGGCAGAGCCTACTTGCTTTCTTAATTTGCTTTTTGAAGAGTTGGAGGAGGTACTTGTGTGTGGTTAAGAACTTTCTTTTCCCGCTCTTCTGTTCTTCCACACCACGTCCCTTCTCTCTCCCACCCCTGTGATCAGCTCTCCTACCCCTAACTCCACCATGGCTTCCCTTCTTCCTCACGCATGCACCTGACGTGCTCAGCAGCACAGTAGTTCCATTCTGGACTCTTCCCACAGCCTGTAATTTGGGGTAGAGATTTCTCCTCTCCAATGAATGGCCACAGTCCTATTTTGCATGGAGCTCTTTAGCTGGCATCACCATTGTTAGATCCATTAAGCCATTCTGCTGCTGATGCTCTTGGCCCTATACAGGCCTTGATCCAAATAGCGCTGTGAGTTTTAAAAAGCTTTGAACGTGTTCCACGGTTCCTAGACGTCCTGCTTACTCTGCTCACCCATAAAGCATTTAGTGAACACAAACTCACTGGATCGATCGCATGCGTCTGCATTGAAACCCTTGGAATCGATTTGTAATTGTTGTGGAGTCTCTGTGTTAACTGGAATCCTACCTTGCTACCATTGGTCTTGAGAGATGTTCTTAAGCAGACTGATATCTGCTGTACATTTTCTTTCCAAACATCTTCAGATAGCCTCCCAGGACCTGACTACACCCAGGATGTCTTCTTCAACAAGTAAGAAGGTGTATGCATCTATTCTTGAATATACTCTGTGTGGTGAGTGCGTGTGTTGCTTGTGGAAGGCAAGAGGCTGGGGGGGTGAGTTTCTACAGAGAAACTGATGGTTGCTTCCCAAATACACAAGTTTGTGTATGTGGGGAAGTTTTTTTTTTTGAAGGTACGTCATCTGCCACCTGGTGATGAGGAACCAAGACGAGAAACCCCACACTCCTATTCTGGAGAGCATTAACAATCACACTAAGAAATTCTTGGGTGAAGCACATGCAAAACAGCGCTTTTCTTAATTGCACGTGCTGAATCCTAGCTGAAGACCAGAAATCAGTGTTACTACACTTCTCACTGAAGAAATGACTGGAGCTGGGGTGTGAACAGAAGATGAGTCTCATCTCCGTGAAGGAGTCTGGTAAGCCAGGCAGAGTTCTGTCTGTGTCCTCTTCATGACAGGCAGAGGAAGGCTGTGCACAGGATCCGTGTGGTGGTGGTGATGTGACTCATCATACACTTACTGGGGGAAAAACCAGAGACTTTCAGGAAAGAAGTCAAAAAAACAAGGCACATGAAAATGAAACTTTTAAGTTTATTATTCCATATGTTTAATGCAGAGTTAATGGTGCTAGGACAGCATAGAGAATGAGGAGAGGGAGGTGGGGGAGGAAGGTGCTACTTGCATAAATAAGAGGGCAGGGCTGGAAGAGGTTACATGTGTACAGGGAGCAAACATTCTACATGATCTTTTCAGACACCACAAGGAGAAAGTCATCCATAGCTAAGGGAGGCAGGAAAGGCATCTGACAGTCATATCAGCAGAGGGAAACAGCGGCACCCATCACAGTCCATGTTTGGTCCAAGTATTTTATCTTTCTAGACTGGAATATCCATTGGAAGGTCCCACAACATGTCTCTGTGATCAATTGCCAGGAGTCATCTTTTCCTGCAGCAACTTTCGTGCCAGTTCACTCCCTGGCATGCCAAACCACCCCAGTCCTGGAGGTGACGAAGGAGAAGTAAGCAGACTGTCCTCAGGTGTTGGGCTGAAAAAAGGAAGCTGATCTGACTGCGAGAGCTGGTTGTTTCCAGTTTGAAACCCAAAGGGGAAAACGAATTCTTTTGCACCTAAATAGGCTTATTTTCTTTACGCTCATCCAAGATTGGGTGCGTTATCTACCTTGCTTAAAGCCGCAGGAGTATCTTTCCAGCTTCAGTGTAGGTAGGAGGGAGGTGTTGACTGACTGGAAGACATGATGAACAAATGAGTGGGGATGCACACCCCGTCAGCCTGAGTTTGGAGTGGAAATTCAAAGAGGGTATTGGAATCAACTTGGGGTGTTGGCAAGTGCATAGTAGCTTTCTCGGTGCCTCTTCATTTCAGGCAAGCACAGTCAGACATGGAAGAGCAAGGACCAAGTTTGCTCAGAGGTGGTTTGGGATACTGAAGAGATTAGAAAGGACTGAGATGTCGGAAATGCCAGACAAAAATGAACAATACAGAGTAATTGTAAGAAAGGAGGATTCACCCACAGCACCTTAATGATTCACTGGTCCTTCCCCACCTCTCCTACGCCTCCATACATGAACACGCATGCACACACAGGCTATGATATGAGTAACGCTAAGACCAACAATGCGGTTCCTGAGTCCTACACGTTGTTCAGGCAAGCCTTAAAATCTCCATGCAGGAAAGA